TGGTGTTTTTTCTCATAAATATATATGCAGAAACTTGTGAACATATAGTTCAATGATTATCTAAATTAGCACAATATAGTAGGAAATGTGTGCTAGCAAAGATACATCTCACTCAACCAGTACCAAAAGTGCACAGCACCTAAAACGTTTACGCACTTAATGTGACATCATATGGTACTGATTAACATCTCAAACAGGGTAAGAATGTGAGGTTAGTAACTACAAAAAGAATGATGCATCTATGATATGATTGGCTTGTATTTTGGTCACTTAAATTGGGCCCTCTTTAGTTCTTTTTCATACCACGCTATTAAACTCCCGAAAAATGATACGAGAAAGATTTAAAATGCAAAAGATAGAGCTTCCTATAATGTCTTGGATATTTAAAACATTCAATTTAAAATCCAAATATGATAGCTCTATCTCTACATAGAATGTCTGGAAAACATTTACATTTCCAAAAGGTCCCATAGAATTCAAAATGTCTTCTCAAAACTGTGCATGCAAATGTAAGAAAAACAATATGCCATTTTCTTACTTTCAAAAGGATTTCTGTGGTGAGAGCAGTGATTCTGCTAGTAGTTATGGTATAATGTTACAATTGCAACTACTTTTGTTCTAGCATCTTATTTCTAAGAAAAGGAATGTAACCCACAGTGAACCTTCCCTGAACAAAAATATGTCCATATAAACATCTTATTTTCTCCATTGGAATAAAAGTATATGTACCATCAGTAAGAAACATACTCAGATCCCACAGATGAATCCAGATAACTAAAGACAAGAAGTATGGGGATTAACTTATAACAATTTCACTCCTTCTTCCCATTTACAGAGAAATAAATCTATATTTCAACTTTCCCCTCAATTCCCCAAACTTGACCTCAGCCACACACTACCCGGACGAAAAAAATTGCACTGATCACTTCCAGCCTACTTTCATTTCTTTTCATTATTCGTCAAAAAATCATGCCCGTTAGAGCTCAGTGACATGCTTGAACCAGGAGGAACCAACTCTGGATGAAGAAAAAAACATAATACCTAAACAGCCACCCTTCTACCAAATCCCTACACCATCACCTGCCTCCAGAATTCACAGCTATTGTACATCCATAAAGTTCCCATCTAAATTCCACTTAATGCAAACATCTCTCTCACGCGCAAAGACGTGTGCGTTTTTGGGGAGAAATATACTTTGAAATTAATGCCAAGCTCAAAGAGAAATCGAATCATCACGATAAATTTATATATGCGTGTATACTCAAAACATACGCATTATATAAACATAAATAAATGTAAATCCTAACCTGGACTTGCCAGGATGAAAGGAGAGCCAACGGTAGCGACCAGAGAAGCGGGAATCGACATGCTCGGTAAGCGCCGACTGAGAAATCGTCGGCGGCAAGTGCCGCAGCACCACCTTCGTTCGATCTAGCGGACCCTTCATGCGAAACAAAACCCTAACACAATCGGACGGTTAATAATAAATATCCTCAAATTTTCCACTAAATTACTCCTTGAATGCCCTATAATTAAAACTTTAACAGAGTTTTCAGCATTAATCGGCGATTGATTCTTCTGTGCCCTAATTTTTGAAAATTGGATTTCGAATGAGCATGGACAAAAAAGATACAGAAGGTAGAGAGTCGGGAGAACTTGAAAATTACGAAGAGAAGAAAGTGACGAAAGAGGATTCGTGCGAGACGCGTGCACCTGTCACAGTTCGTGAAAAAAGGCAACGAAATAGACCCCGACTTTTAGAGTAAACTACAAAAGCACCCATCAAGTTTGTGGAAGATTCCATATAGCCCCTTATATTTACTATTTGTTAACAATATTATTTGCTCACTTTGTTCCTTGTTCACCGTAATTGTCATTTATACTCTTTTATTTTAATTTAATTACTGAAATGTCCTGATTGGATTAAATTATAAGTACATAAAGTAAAAAATGTCGAATTACGTAAATGGTCAAAGTGTAACTAAACAATGAACATGTTATATTTGTTTACATTTCAGACAAAGGTAGTGATAAGATTAAATCTCACGTCGGCTAAATTTAAAAATATTAATTAAATAAAAGCTTGACTTCGTCTTTTAACCAAATTGGCCTAATAAGATGGAAATCTGATAATTAATAGTATTATAGTTTAACAAACTCAAACCCTTTTGTATTGATTAATATTTATATATGTTTAATTTAATAAAGAAAAATTTGTAATGAAAGTTTCAAACTTTTCAAAAAAGTGCAATGCAGTCCCAGCCTCTAAATCATAGTTAGTTTATCAAAGTCAAGCGTCCTACCTTAATTTGACCAAGATAAAAATTACTTTATCGCCCCTGTTTGGACTCGATCTATCTTCTTATCGATCACAAATTCTCCAATAAAATAATATTACACGTAAATTTAAAATTTTTCTTTCTTTTTTAACTACACATTCTCCAAAAAATTACTATTTCAAAATAATTTTTTCCAAAATCTAATTAAAATGGAGGCCAAACAAGCATGAACAAGCAAAACACGCTCTGAGTGGAGCTTTTCAAGTCATAGCTATACTTTTCATTAAACACTATTTGTCCTTTGACTGATAGTAGTTGTTTTTATTAGATTTTCGGCCAAATGGCCAAGCTCCCATCTGATGTACAAACAAGGTAGTTACGCCGGCCATGTAGGAGGAGATACCTAAGAGATCCCTAACCACGTTAACAATTTCAGATAAGCAGCTCGGAATGCTATTGAAGCAGGTTAGCAATTAATACGTAACGAGTTAAAGAAGTTAAAATGTTGTACACGTCATGAACCGTAATTTTAGGGCCTTTGTATAGTTGAAGGGTTTAAGGATGGAATAAATATGCACCAGTTTACAGGTTTTGATGGAGTTCAAATCCATGGAGGATACTACTGATCGATCAGTTTCTGAAGGATCGAGTAAATGATAGAACAAAAGAGTGTGGAGGGACATTGGAAAACCGATGTCGCTTTGCATTGGAAAGTGTGGAATCAAAGAGCAACGAGATTGGGTTATAAAGGGCATAAGAAGGCTGCATTATTTGAAGATTTGATAAGTAAAATAAAATGTAGAATATTGGGTTGGGAGCATAGATGGCTGTCAGCTGGTGGCAGGATCATACTTATCAAACATGTGTTGAGCTCCATGCCCATTCATTTACTTCAAATCCTCGACCCTCCTCATTGTATTATTAACAAAATTTCTAGATTGTTCAATAGCTTTATCTGGGGTGATTCTAGTCAAAGCAAGAAAATACATTGTGTGTCCTGGGAAAACATGTGTTATCCTATTGAAGAAGGGGGAATTGGGTGCAGATCACTTATTGACTTGAACCTTGCTTTTGACTACAAACTTTAGTGGAAGTTTAGAGAGCAAAAATCATTATGGAGTCAGGTCCTGTTAGCCAAGTATTGCAGGTCCATTCATGCGAGTGTTGTTAACCAAAGTTCTCTTGACTCAGGTATTTGGAGAAGGATGATTAAAGCCAGAAACATTGCCGAACCTCATATTGCTTGGAGAATTGGAGAAGGGAGAATTAATTTCAAGTATGATACTTGGCTTAAGCCTGGAAAGATTCAAGGGAGACTGGCACAGGATCTGCCTCACGATAAATTGGCTATGGATTTCAGGAATTCTAACGAATGGGATACTACATCGCTGAACCGTATTTTACTTGCGGATGTGGTTAATGAAATAGTGAAGATACCGGTTACTATGATGCCTGATAAGATATTCTGGAAGCTCAACTCTACTGGGGTATTTACCATCTCCTCTTGTATTAACCTTTTCAGGTAAGGCAAATCAGCCCAGCTAGCGTATAAACATATTTGGGATAAAATCATTCCTCAGAAGATCAGCTTTTTAGGTGGAGGCTTTGGCATAATTGGCTTCCGATTGATGATATTATCCAGAAAAAATTTGCCATCAGTTTAGCCTCCAAATGTCAGTGTTGCAGCAGCTCTGAAAGCATTAATCATGTATTTGTGGATGGTCGAATTGCTAAGGAGGTTTGGTCACATTTCTCCAGGGTTTTGAATGTGAAAGAAATTGGAAGTGTTCATCCTAGAACCTTACTTATGCACTGGTTTCTACAGAAGAAAGCTAAGCCAGGTGATATTCGAAATGTTGTTCCTCTGGTTGTCATATGGTTTCTTTGGTTTGCCAGAAACAATGTGAAACATAAACAACATATTACAAGGGCAGATAGGATTATCAAGCAAGTCTATTTCCTGATCAAGGCTCTCATTAGGACAGGCAGAATTCAACAGAATGGGAGGATCAGGTTAAATAAACCCATAGCAGTCAAGTGGATTAAACCTGAGGTAGGCTGGTATAAACTAAACACCGACGGTGCTAGGAAGGATGATTCCCAGTCTACAGGAGGGGGATTGCTGAGGAATCCAATTTGGGGATTCTATGAGTATTATGGATAAGGATCAATATTGGAAGCTGAACTTAAAGCCATGGAAACTGGGCTGAAGTTGTGTTGGTCACAGGGGTGCAAGAAGGTATGGGTTGAGACTGATTCTAAGGTGGCTATCTCATTGATTAAGCAGAATATAGGTCCATGGGAAGTCCAATATACATTACAATCAATTCGAGGATTGCTGGACAAAATGGAAACCATAC